ATAAATAGGGATGCTAAACTCATTTTGAATTAATTAATGAATTATTATTGATATTGAGGTTTCTCATATTTGTGCTTCTTGGTTCTTGAGAAGACTTTGAACTTATCAAGTATTGTTCTTGTGGCATTCAACAATCGAACTTATCATTGAGATTAACAGGTGAATTCTTGATAATCTTTGTGTGGCGTTCTCTATCCTTCGTAGTTCTTGGTTCGTGTCTTGATAGACAACGGGTTAAGGCTCAACAATCTTGCGTCTTGAAGATCTTGGGGTTGTGATCCGCGTTTGGTGTTGGGTCTCGTCACGTCGTTGGCGAGGTTCATATCATTCAGTTGATGGTGTTAATACAGGTTCTTCTACGACATCTTCATCACCTTCCGCTACTACATTATTCTCAGGTAGACTCGGCAAACCTGAAGCCTCTATGTCTGGCTGAGCAGTGGGTTAATCAATGACAGGTTGATGTGAATTCAACCTTTCTTCTATGGCCTCTAGTTCCACGAACCCAATTTCACCCCTTGAAACTCTATTGTCTTCTCAGAAAGGCTCAGCCTCTTCACTTGAGTTCTCCCCCTAAAGAGGTGAACTCAAAACTCTCCTTTTATAGTATGGTTCGGTCTCGCAGAAAGAGACATCTAAGGTGGCATGCAGCTTTTTAGTCTCGGGGTCATAACATCTGTAGCCCTTTTGAAAATCTAAATATCCAACAAAAACACATCGTTTCACACAAGGGTCCAATTTACTTCGTAAGACCTTGAGAATATGTACATATACTGTACACCCAAAAACTCTAGGTTCGAGGTTTGGTAAATACAAGATAAAGTAGAAAGATTGTAACTTGTGTTGGGGAGTTTAGAAGGCAATAACTCTGGAAGGAACCCGGTTGATAAGGAAGACAGCAGATTTGACTGCCTCTCCCCAATAAAACCGTGGCATGTTCATCCCAAAGAGGGATGCACGTACTACCTCCATAATTTGCTTATTCTCCCTTTCTGTCAGGCCATTCTGCTCCAGTGTGTATGTACAGGAAGTATGGTCTCGTATCCGCAATTGGCTAAGATACTCTCCAATCAAGGTATCAACGAATTCCATACCGTTGTCTGATTGCCAAATCTGAATTTGCCGTTGATACATGGTACATACCATGGTATAGAATTCCTTAAATGTTGTACATGCATCACTCCTTTTATGGAGTAAGGACACCCACGTGACCCTAGTGCTTTCGTCGATGAAAGTAACAAAATAACGGGCCTTTGAAATAGATGGAACCCTTACAGGTCTCCAGATATTAGAATGTATAACAATAAAAGGTTATGAGCATTTATTTAAACTTGGTAAATAAGAAATTCTGTGGCTTTTTGCCAGTTCTTATACATCACAATGAAAATCAGAAACATCTATATTAGAGAACAAACTTGGTCGAAGTTTCTTAAGATAACCAAAAGAAATATGTCATAGTCTCCTATGCCATAACCATATACTTGCTCGAACCTTGTCAACTCCACTTGTATGAAATGCGTGGCTGCATTTTTTTCCCCATCCTCCGTCAATTCCAAGTAGTAAAGGTTGTCTCGTTTAACACCATAACCAAGAGTCTTCCGAGTCAAAATGCCATCATGGAATGCATATGTACAACTCCTTCAACAGATCATTCCTGTGCAACCGTTCGATGATCGATTTCCTGAAAAATTTCAACCAGTTCATTATAGTAAGTAGACAAAGTTCTACCATTCTATATGGTAGTGAAAGACTTTCGATTTAATTCAAACTAACAAGTCTCGTCCGATCCATCGTAAAAGGTTTTCGCAACAGCCTCCCATATCTCTTTGGCTGTGGCCAGCCGGATAAACCGCTGCATCAGATGGGGACTCATTAAATCAACGAGCCAACTCTTAACTCTGTGATTTTCGGTAATCCACGTCACGTAGCCAGGATCGTTGGAGGCTGGTTTTACCGTTTCGCTGGTAAGATATCCGATTTTGTTTCGCGCTTCAATGAGCATATCCATCAATTGTGACCATAATGGGAAATTTGTTTTTCAACAAGAACAATACCGGTGGGGAAAGTTGAATTGTCCTGTTGAACTATGATTGGTGGTGGTGGGTTATATGATGCAACAGGAATGACAGGGTTTAGATTCAGGGGTGTTGGAGGTGTATTTGGTGGATTCGTGACAGAGGGGTTATGGTCTGCCTTTCAGATTCAAAAGAAGAGTTTATGTACGGCTTTTGGTTTGTATTGATATTAAAAACGCTCTGATACCATGTAGGATTAGAAGGGTCTTTTAGTGAATAATATTCGATACTGTTTATTCTTCTCATCATGAGGTGAATATATACAAGTACTAGCTACCAGAAACGTATAGTCTATTCTAGGTAATATACATATAAAAGGTAACATATTATTCTCACTAATTGTGGATTCCTATAATCATGGTCTCCCGTAATCTTAGGAGTTGACCGAGCCTCGTTCGTTTCGCTGATTCGAGTTTAAAATTCGAGTTTCAGTAAAAAGCTCTCATAAACAGTCACATCTAACTTTTTTACTACAGTAAAAAACTCTCACATAAAATCACATCTAAACTCGAATTTTAAACTCGAATCAGCGAAACGAACGAGACCCAAATCTCTCACGCCTACAAGAATATTGCACGGAAAATCAAACTAGTTATGTTTGATGAGAAAAGTAGGAGACCAATCCTTCTCTTAACTTACTTTTCAGTTTTTATGTTATCTTCTTAGAATTTTGCCTTTTTTTTATGTTGATTTAGAATAAGAAAAATGTGAAGATGAAGTTCTTGTAATGTTTTAGAAAAAGACATATTTTTGTGCTCGGTAGCATTTCTCTTGATTAAATATTATAGATGTACAAGTACAATGAAAATAATTTGTTTCTTTTGTAAAGAAGATTAGCCTCACGACGTGTAAATTAGTAAACGACAATAAACTTTACAAAATGACGACGAGTTCGTTAAAAAAGAACCACGGGTCATTAAATTATATAAAACGATGATTAATTGTTTAAATTATATCAAACGATGGTAGACTTGTAATATGTAAATTGTATGTCGTTTTTTTTCTTTTTTTTTTTTATATAAACCACAAAATAGTTGAATTTATTAGTTCAGAAATGAAGTCAATTAATATTTATAAAGAGAATTATTGTCTTGTGATACACTAATAAACGACATTATATTATAAAAGAGGACGTAGTGTTGATTTTAAGTGAAATTACAGCAAGCTTTACAGAGTTGAGGAACATCGAGAGCTCCAGGATCCGCATTTAATGGGAATTGAAATTCATTGAAGGTTAGTTTTATTTGATTTGGATCTGAAGGCTCATGGAGCTACTCAGTATTTTCAGCCGACACAAAATCTACCCAGCACGTTGTCGTAACTGGTAGTTGTAGGAAAAATAAATTGATTTTAGTGACCGACTATTCTGCCCTTTTAGCATGTGAAATGAAGAAGTTGCGCCGCAGCAGATGAAAAAAGAAAAAAAAAAGTCAACGATTGGTTTTCATATTATCGAATGACGTACGATTCAGAAACAAATTCATGGGTCCTTATAACAAGGTTCCCATAAGGAAACTTATTATACATGAGCATTGTGTGTATATAAATATACAAGTACTAATGACGTGTCGTTTTATATACGTCGTCCAACGGTCCAAGCTGTGATTTTTGACTTATTGACTTTTTACAACTAATAAACTTTTTCTAATAGAATAAATTCATGGGGTACAGATATTATTTGTAAATCATGAGAGAGATTTAGCAACAACAAAAATAAAAAATAAACATCATTTTATGTACGTTGTCTAAGTTTGACTTTGACTTTTTGACCCGTTCAAAACTATATACATCATCCAAGCTTCTAACAATAGCTTATTCTAACTACATGTGCATGACGGTCGTATGAGCTGTTATTAGGAACTTATTTGGTTAGAGTATTCGTTCTCTGATTTAAATTATGGTTCATAATTTATTACAATATTTTTTCTCATAAAAAATACACGTAAATTAAAAATTATTCTAATAGCATAGTTCTAATTTATGAACCAAACAGATTATAAGTGGTTTGAGTCTTTTTTTTTCTTGGCAGTTTTTTTAAAAATCCAATCCATAACTGCCTAAATTTTAGATGGATTAAGTGATTTTTTGGCGAGTATATCAGACAGTTTATTGGGCGGTATGGACTAAATACCTATTGTTTTTTAACTATTAAATTAGAAATTAAACTTTTATAAACTTAGCTACTTTTATAAGTATACATATTGTATAGACATTTAAATTCATTTCTATAGATTCAAGAAGAACAATTAAACATTGTACACAGTTATAGTCATTTCCTCAAAACCGTTGATGTAAAAGTAAGGCTAAAAAAAATTGAAAATGTGATGTTGTTAACTAATTACTAAAAAATATAAAAAATAATAATTATTTGAAACCACTTGTTGGTGTAAAGTCTTGAAGCTTGTGATATGCAAGAGTTGTAGGAAAAGAAAACACATCCAAAAGGTGCAAACGTAGATACATAGTTAATAAAAGTTAATAAAATGAAATTGACCGTAGCATATAGCACAATCGCACAAGTTTCTAAAAAGTAATATTCAAATAAATTAAATTTGAAATCTAAATAATAAAATATTAAACAAGCAAAGAGTCAACACTCACCGTATAAAATCCTATAAAAAATATACATGCATATATGATAAGTGGACAGGGCAGTTTAAAATCGCTTAAAATTATACAATCTGCAACTGTTGTCTATAAGTGTAAATTGTAATAGCGCTACCCAAAAATAGACAGATTGTTACATGAACCCGCCCATAGCGAGTGTCACAGAGCGGATTGAGCGGTTAGAGCGGTTTGCGATTTTTTTTTACACTCTACGTTTGGTTCATGGATTAGAATCACGTGATTAGAACCATTTTTTATTTACGTGTATTTTTTATGAGAAAAAATACTGTAGCGAACTATGAACCATGATTCGAATCAGAGAATGAATCCCCCAACCAAACAACCTAGGCAAATAAACTACATGTTGTCCTTGTAGCAACGACATCCAACTTTTACACAGCAAAAAATGTCGTTCCTAGAAATAAACGACAGCAAGCTTTTGCCTCTCTCCAAGGCATTGACAAAACGAGACCAACCGATTCAATTTTTCAGCCCTCACCAAATCCTTTCATTAAAAAAAGACCCTCAATAAATCAGACATAATCTCTTTGGACTTTGGACACATCTCTCTTTCTCCTGCATCTTCAACGTTGTTCACAATGAAAGCAACGTTCAAGGGCAAGTACGACACAGACAAAATCGGCGGCGCAGCCGCAACCTTCGCCGTCGGGGCCGGCGATGTCAAGCTCAGAGCTTCCATAACCGACGCCACCGTCGTTGGTGGCCCAAGCCTCAACGGCTTAGCTCTGGCTGTCGAGAAGCCTGGCCTCTTCATCGTCGATTACAACGTCCCCAAAAAGGTACCTTCTAATCTCTCAAATCCAATCCAGCTTGGTCGCTGAGAATCCCTGAGAAAGCAGAGGAAAAGTCAAAATCTATAAACCAGTGTAGACTTATTATGCCTAATTAGTAATTTTTCCATTTCTTTTTCATATTTGTTATTCTCCAGGGATTTATCATGACGAGTTCCTTTTATCTAATTGCGCACTTTTCTGTTTGGTGGCCGAGAAATAATGGCAAAAATTGTAGAAAACTTTGAACTTTGGGATTGGAGTGTATTGGATTTGGTTCAATAGGTAGTCGCAATTGTTTCTCTTGCATCTCAAATTTCGAGCTTTTCTGGTGGTGCAGGATATTCGATTTCAGTTCATGAACACCGTTAGGGTTGCGGAGAAGCCGTTGAATTTGACTTACATTCACTTTAGAGGCGACAACAGGACTATATTAGACGGAAACCTCGTAATCGATCCGGCGAACAAGGTTTCGGCCAATTACATGCTCGGCACTGGGAATTGCAAGCTGAAGTACACATATGTGCACAATGGGGTTACAACGTTCGAGCCCTCCTATGATTTGGTCAAGAATGCTTGGGACTTTGCTGTGTCAAGGAAGGTTTATGGTGATGATGTGTGCAGGGCAACGTACCAGACGAGCGGCAAGGTTTTGGGGCTCGAGTGGTCGAGGAATTCGAAAGTCAATGGTTCTTTCAAGGTTTGTTGATTCAATTCAAATTAAAAGGCTCTCATTGATTGAAATGTAAATGTATACATTAAAGGGGGGGAAAATGAAAACTTCTGACATGATTGTGGCTGTCAGCTAAGTTGCAAGTAACTTTGCCGGCTCAAATTGCGTAGTTTCAATTTTAGTTTTGCAATTCTGTTTGCATCTTGGACCTAGGTGTTTGTTTCTTCAATATGGAAAAAGTGTTAAGATTCAGTTTTAGAAATTGGAGCATGTTGTTACTTTCTGTTGGCAAATTTAGTTTTTGGTTTGCATATTAGATTGACATGCTTCTCAGGTTATGAACTGCTAGGTTTGTCACAGAGTTGAAACTTAAGGGCTTGTAGTCACCGGTAACTTTTAGTAAGTGATATTTTGGTCATGGTGATATTGTTATTCAGTGAATTTGTAGCACAGTAATAGTAAGAAATGCTCATACAGCTTCAAAGATGCAATGTCAATCAGGAATACGGGGGCATGCTTTTGGTTTTTGTTAGTTTCTGATACAAAATCCCCTACTCAAAGGGGAAAATGGCAATTCAGTTTGATTAACGAGGGTTGGAAATCATTCATGGTTCATGAATTATACGAGTATGGAGTTAACTAGTATTATGAGATTGTAAAGTTGGTATTGTTGGAGTTAACTAGTATTATGAGAGCTTTCGTAGCCTTAGTAGCCAACTAGTCCTTTACTAACCGGGATACTGTGGTGGAGATGAAATGACTGCTCTGCGCTTGCTGGCTTCATATTGGTGAAGGAGTCTGTTAATGCTTTAACTAAAGCATATAGATTTGACCAGTTTTGTGTGCGTTCAAATGCCGTTGACTGATTCATATGACTTTTTATTTTCTTGTTCATATGGTTGGCTGAAAGTAATCTAACTTTGCTCGTTCTTTTTATTTATATATTTATTTCAGATTTCAGCAACATGCAACTTGGCCGAGGAAGTTAAGACGCCAAAATTGACAGCTGAAAGCACGTGGGATTTTGAGCTGTGATTTTCTTATAGTGGTTTTCGAATTTTATTTGCTTGTTACTTGTATTCCAATGAATAATTTCAATGTTGATGACTTTGAACATCATTATCCCATTGATTAGTGTTTTCCTATTATTGAGCTGATTCCCATCTTAATGGCCCAGCTCGGTAGCATTGACTGTCAAATTGCAGCTTCTCTTCTAAAACTTCATTTGCCTTCACTAATGCATTTGTCTACAATTATGGCCTACAAACTAGCCAAGCCATCATTACTTTTGTGGGTTTCTTTGTTTTGCTCCGGATTTTCCAGGCTGTATTATGTACTCTAGTATTAATGTTGGATTGCTCAAACAAGAAGAGATCAAGTCCTTAGTAGGAGGAAAAAGAGGCATCTTATGGAGTCTTATTACAGGAATTAAAACCCATGCAGCTTTAACATATGGCTTTCACTGGCCTCGAGTTCATTGGCTCTAAGTACGGGTGTTCTCAAAAACCTACCAAACTAAAATCAAACCGAACCAGATCAATCGGTTTTTTATTTTTAATTTATCTGTTTGTGAAGTCTTTTTTAAAATTGATTTAGTTAGTGATTTAGAAATTTATAACCACCAAACCAGCAAATTTGACCAACACACACACACACACACACACACATATATATATATATATTATTTTGCCATACTTGTAATCTTTTTTAAATATTTTTATTGGAAATGTCTTAAGTATGGTAATATTACCGTGTAATATTGTTTTTTTTGTGTGTGTAACATTCAGTTCGCTAAAGTATAATATTTAAAAAATACAAATTAACACATATAATATTAAGTATTACACTTAAATAAATAAATTGAATGTTACGCACATACATTACATAAATGATGTTATATGAGAATTAAAAAAATGTTATATTTGCCAGACTCTACAGTTGCTAAACGTAATAATTTGCTTATTTTTATACAAATCATTTTAACAAAATATTATTTTACGGCTTTCTAATGTAAGTAAAATTTTCAACTAATAAAAGACTTTTTTTTAAAGAGCAATTTCTTTTAAAATGGTTATTTTACATCAAATCAATTTTTAGTTATATATGAAGGGCCTTTTTGATAAATGTATTTAAATTTATGATTCTCATTTAATTACAATATTTTTCTTTTATAAAGATTTTAAATTCAAAAATTTTCCACTAATAATTATCTAATAAAATTCCCGCCAATGATTTGGTTTGACTTTGGTTTAAACACTAATTTATTCAAATATATGTTATTACCCTTTTTAATTAGTAGAGTACAATAAAATCATATTTTATTAAAAAAGAAAGTACGACATTTAAACATAAAGTGATAAAAATCTTACGACTAAAAATTGTGGAGTATGGATACCCCATTTTTTCATAGGGAGATTCTCTGGTACGTCTGACATACTAATATGTCACGTTTTTTTAACTGTTAAATTTGTATACTTTTTAACTTTTACGTGATTTTATACATATCTAATAAACAGAAAACCTAAACTACCAATATATTAACGTACTGGAGGACCCTTTTTCATATATGCTAAATAATTCTAAAAAAAGTGCCAAATATGGAGAAATACGGTGTTTATTATTCTTCAATAGACAATAATGGAAAATTATAAACTTTGGCCTTGTTTGATCCAACAATTCAAACTGTGGTGATTTGAATCTTTTTACTTTGAACTGTAAATTTAAACAATAGTAATTTAATTGCGATTTGAACCGGAACTAGAAATCAGTGTTTGAATATGTAAATAAATTGTAAATCTAAACTGGAAATATAATTGGTGTTTGGAAATTTTGGAGAGCAGGGATTCAAAAGGTAAAAACATAAGAAAATAAATTATGATATAATTAAAAATAATGATGAAATAATATATTAAACTACTAACAAAAAATATTAATAACAGTAATATAAGTTTCGAATGTTAAAATTAAAAGATAGTAATATATAAATTAAAAAAATGCTAATAGTATTAAAAGAATATTAACATATAAACCTAAAAAGTACTAATTAAGATAAACAATATATTAATTAAAAATACCAATAAACGATTAAGAAAAGAAAACGACAGATAATACCAAGAGGCAAAAAAATATTTTATATATACTAGGGAGAGTGGGTGCTATTGCACGTGCTTTTGTTTTAACGATATATATATATATATATATATTTGTTAAAAGACTGTATATAGAGAATAATTTTTGGTAATTGTGAAAATAAAATACATGGTTAAATATGTATACCATTTACAACACAAATATAGACATAATATAGATATTTAGATATGTACAGCTAGGATATAGTTGTATTTGATGCATCATAATTTAAAGTACAAATACATATGAACTTTAAGCTAATTTTCTTTTCCCTGCAACGTAATATTTGCTTTTCTTCTAAAGGTATTTCGACCATATTGTTAACAGCAGCTTTGGGCCGGCCGCCTCCAGTTTGACCAATTTTAATGTACATAAAGTACGTTTAGTACTTGTTTAGTACTTATTTTAAAATAATTTTAATCATGTTTAAAATTAATCTTCTTTTTGTTTTTCACATTTAAAAAAAAAATGTTTTCAAAACGGCGTTTAGCGCAATGAAGACAAAAAACGAAAATAAAAATAATTTTTAATTTAATATAAAATGAGAGAAAAATAAAAAACGACTTTTAGTCGTTTTTTATTTTTTTTGTTTTCATTTTCTCCTCTCTCGATTAGAAAGGGAAAGAAAAACATTAATGAGTTTTTTTACACTAAAAACAATCTCTTCATAAAACTACCAAACACATTTTTAAAAATGATTTCTGTCTGAGATTGAAAACGTTTTCATTTTCATACAAAAAATAAAATCATTTTGAAACGAGTTCCAAATGCGCCCAAATTCTTTTACAGCTGATTATCTTGTATAACTTCTTATAGTCTGTCATGAATGAATTTAGAAGTTATTTTTTATTATTTCTAAATAGAAATTAATTTATAATACAGTATATGGAACAAATGATATAAAATACCTCTTTGGTACTCTGGATGATTTCTCTAGCTATACAAATAAGTATTTGTTCTGCATTTTCAGCAAAGAAGGTTCCTGGTAATATTTCAGAGGAGTCACGAAGATGACCTTCTACAAGACATCTGTAAAAATAATTGGAGTAGTTATTATAATTTGGAAAAAATATAAAATTACAATAAATATTGTGTGTAATTGTTTTATCAGTTTAAAAAGTACCTTGGAGTTGCTCTGACGTTACGATCACAACGAGAACATGTATAATTGATCAAGAGCTGTGCTTGTAGATTTGTAACATTGTGGGCGTGCTAGATAACAGAAGTTTTGTTGAAAATTCGTAACTATCGCATTTGCTTTTAGCCAGAAATTTGATACCTGATAATAAGTTGTAATTAGATAATATCTTCATTGTAAAAAGAACGATCAAATATGATTTTTAAGAGCTTATTAATTTAGAGGGCATAGAAAGCTTACATTTGTTGGGTTATTTTTTATGGTATCAATTTTAGTGATCGTATCTGTTGAAGGTCTTGAAGAAGATGTCAAATTTGAAGTGTCGGCGGTTAGTCTTGTGGGATAATCTTCGTTATTCATAGACCTATTGTAATGAAATATTATAGTTTTGATGTTATTAATAAGTAAATGTAATAAAAGATAGATGTTGCAATTATTACAATTTGAATATACAATACTTACCAAGGCTGCAGCTCAATAGCTTCGGGTATACTTGGATTGATGAAAAAAGTACTTGTGAGATTTGTTGCTAATTACAAACCTGTAGCAGAGTTTTAAATTAGTAGTATGTAAGATAAGATTTTTTTTAATATTAAAAAAAAAAGAATCGAGTATTAATATACCGGTATATGCAGATGCTCTCAGTCGAACACCTGCAATTACAGGCCTTGTTGCAATAATACTGAAAATATTCGCCCTTTCATTTGTGACGAACTGGTTTCACATTGTTGGTAACATAGGTTTTGGTCTATAATGAAACAGAAGATAAACAAAAGATTTATAATATCATATCTTGAAAAATAGATGCTTAATAAATAAATATTCAAATTGCAAAAAGGTAACATAAAATGTAATGCATACTCTTGGTTGATGAAATAAATTTCTTGAATATTTGCAGCTCCAAATTTGGCGTGTATTTCTTTTGCTTGTTTGGCATAGAAGTAAAAGCGAACTTATTATTATAAGTTCGAATATAAGTTCTGGAATGTGAAGACTCTTCCGAAAAAATCTTCCGATGCAAAAGTAAATAGATTATAGGTGATATTCACATATTGTAGGAGACACAAGTTTTTCAGGTTCGTTTACAATATTTTGCAACATGTGGTCTTTATATCTGTTATTATTTTATTGATTTTGTGGCAAGAAATGCAAACAAGGCGAAATTAGAAATACAAAATTAATAAAGTAATTTAAATAAAATATGGGAAAAGATTGTATTTGATACTTGTTGAACTTTGAAATCCATCATGTTCTTTTGTTTGATTTATTCGCTCTGATGTTTCACCTGAAATGAGTTTCAGAATACTTTTTAAAAATCATAACTAACACAAACCCTTAATAATTTTAAAAGAAAAGGAACAGAGTAATTCTTACCAATTTCAAAGTTCAGACCGTCAAATTGCTTTGTGTTTGTCCTGTTGTTTCTGTCTAATAGTTCCACCTCTCCACATAAAGGCAAAGGGAAAATTAGATTAAAAAAAATTTAAAAATTGTACACATAATCAACACTAATTAGTGATACTTTAAAACTGTACATATTGTGGTTTATCACCATCATTTAGATCAGTAAGACTCCTTATAGTTGAATCATAAGAAATTTCAGCCATGTTTTTTTTCCACAACAGAACATAACTTCCTCATTGTAGCATATACTTTTTTTTTTTTTTCCTTTTTCTCGACTCCTCTTTGTCTTCTTCAGTCATATTCTTTCTTTTTTGTTCGTACTATTTTTTTTGGGTTTCATTTTTTTTTTTCCTTCGTTACTGCATGATTCTCCATCAGAACTGCCATCAAGATGTTCAATATACACTATGTTATTTGGATACACATTTGAACAAATATTAAGTATAAAGTAAACTATAAACATGAAAGTATGTTGACTTGTAAAGGAAAAGGAATATTCTAACGCGAGAACATACATTATCATGGTTGTATATATTCAAAAGGCATTCCTTTTGATTTGACAAAAAGTGTAATAACAAACCAAAAGCATCTGTCACAAGGATACAATTTGTTGCGTGAATATTAGGATCGGAGATTTCGATCTTCAAACAGTCTACAAAACAGAATTGGTTCACATAAAAGCTCATACGAAAATGAGGCAAAAATAAGTAAAGCTAATAACATATTCAAAGAAAAAACACTTAAGTTCATTCATCATTCATTTTAACAAACACTGAGCATACGATTTATTGAAAAAATACAGAACAACAACAAAAAGCTGATTGAAAGAGGAGAAAAAAAAATCAGTAAAGCCAATAACATACACGAAGAAAAAACACTATTGGTTGATTAGTCATTTTAACAAACACCAAGCATACAATTTGTTGAAAATGTCAGATCAATTATTAATAACAAGGAAATATATATACAAAGGTTGGCCCAAGCGCTATTAAACGTCCTTCATACTTCTAACAGAGATTAAGGTCTATTCATTTCGCTGATTCGAGTTTAGAATTCGAATTTTACTCACATTTAACTTTTTTATTACAATAAAAAAACTCTCACACAAAATCACATCTCAACTCAAATTACAAACTCGAATCAGCGAAGTAAACGGCCATAAGTTTAAAGTCACTAACGTTTTCAAAACCTCTATAAAAATAAAAAAATAATCAATGAATATTGAGTTGAGGAATTAAATTTTGCCATACCTTTTAATCTGACTAAAGATGAAGACGATGAGCGAATCAAATCCTCAAGAAATTCACTTCTTTTGCACACGAACTAAATTTCCTTTGAGGAAAAAAAAAAGCAATTCCTAGAATGAAGAAAAGAACGGGGAAGAAAGGCACCAACAATTTCTGAAATAGGGATTTGAGATCATAGGTAAAAAGGAAGAAGAAAAAAATGGAAAAAACGGGAAGGAAAAAAAAAAAAGACCTCCAAGAAGAACAGAAAGATAGTGGCAGAGCAATGAGCAGAATAGGAAAATAAGAGAAGAAGGACGATGAAAGGGAATGAAGAGATGAAGAATCGGAGAAAAATGGGAAAAAAGAAAAGGAAAAAAAGAGATGTAAAAGACACGTTGTTGATATATGACGTGTGGTAACATATATTTAACAGATGGAACGCCCAGTTAAAGACACGCAATAAATTATGAAGAGAAGAGGGGGAAAAAAAAAAAAAAAAAAAAAACCTAGCAGGTGAAAGCCTGCTTCTGCAATCCTTTTAAGGATAATATAATATGGAAACAACAATTAACAGTATGTGCAGACCAGCCGCATTTGTTTTCTCGATCTTCGGTTTATCTTAAGTTGCTTTTCACTTAGAGAGACAATTCAAAGAGTGAATTTAAAGGGGGCTGAATTCTAAAATTAAGGGGTTTGAATTGAAATTAGAGGTTTGAATCATTCTCCTTTTAACTCTGTACCAAACAACATTTTAGAACTTGGGCTGCCATTAGAATTGGATTTTTTGGTTTAAAACGTTGAGATATTAGGATACTTGCCTCAAGAAATCGATGAGGATCGACCTCAACCATGGAAGCAAACTGTATCAGCTTTTCTGTCATGTGGCATGACTAAAATCATACTAAACGGACTAAAATACCCTTAAATACTTGGGCTTCCCTTTTTTTTTTTCTCTTTTCCTCGTTATTTTCTCTCTCAAAGCTCCTTCTTCCCCACACAAGCTACTCAGCGGCCACCCACATCTAACTCCGCTGTTCGGCTCCCTCCGGCGCCACGTCTCTCTTCCCAAAGGGTCCTTTCGCCGACTTGGCATTTGTTGTGTATAAAAATGTGTACTGACACGTCGGATAACAATAGTACCCCACGTGGCTCCGTGTTAATCACGTCAGATAGCTGTCGTCACTTAAAAATTCATATGGTGAAAAGACCGAGTGTACAGGACGACTCATGAGATCGTCAATCCCATATACAGTCGAGACCTACATGATTTGTTCGCATCAGAGGTACCGTGATAGGCTCGACTAATAAGGAACCTGCGACTGGCTTTATATTGTGTAGGTACAACGAGCCGACCGCATGAATATGGGTCCACGTTCCTAAAAAGTCCCCTGAGTGGACAAGGGGAAATCTCCAGATTGCGTCTGGACTTGGAAATGGCCAGCAACACAGGAAATGATTGCTTGCCCATAAACCGCCTGTGGATGACCAATGAAATCAAATGAGGATCCCCAGAACCGCAATAATGGACGAAAGGGGTGAGTGAACAATGCAAAAGGCGTTGACAAGCTACAGTCTAGGCAAATAGGATGGTAGGCTACTTGGGCCAAAGTCATCATTAAAATCCCTATGCCAGCCCGTCTAAAAGGGGTCGATATGTGATCCATATGCTATAAAAGGAGCAAAGCGCCTGAGAGGAAGGGGGGATTGACTGGTTATGTAATCTAAGAACTAAAGAGAAATAAAATATACAGTGGATGTAGCTCTTATTTAACAGGGTGAACCACCATAAACTCTCGTGCGTTTTATTTCCATTCAAGCATTATTTTTACACTTCTCGTCATATTCTTTCTAAGCAAACGCTTTATAGCATTAATCCAAATACATAACAATAATAGGCCGATAACCCGACGGAACACCAGGAGGTAACCCGGCGTAATCTTGTTGACGAAATTCTACCGTTAACAATTAGTAACTCCGCTTGGTAACAAACCCAGAATCTCTGGTTCACATGTTTAAAACCCCAGACAACTAAGAAGTAATCAACGATCATGCCTCCGAGAATAGGAGATGGCGCTGCAAATCAAGGCCTCAAAACAGAGAAAAATACCACGCATCCAACCAATAGTGGGAGTGGGAGAGATCAACTTGACCAGGGGAATCAACCCCCGGTGAGGAACGAAGCCCCACCCCCAGACGTGCCGTAGCTCGACCTGGTACAGATGCAGGCCCAGCTGAACACTCTGACCGACTTGGTGCGATGACTGATGTCCGTTGTCGAACGGTTGGACGGGAGAAACTCTATGCCTCCTTTGAAAGATGCCCTGAGACCACCGGGAGCTACCATGGTTGGGAACCAGAATACTAGTGACCGTCAAGGTGCCCCGGAAGGGATCAGGAATAGTGAAAATGTTAGAGGAGAAAATTCGAGGCCTCGACCATCCCAGTCCCTCGGCAGCCGGAAAATGGCCATTAGGCGGCGAGCCTAAGAGAACAGAGCAGTCGGACCTCAGCAGAACCCAGAAGCGCCACCTCGAAACTCAGGTAAAAATATCCCAGGAGATTCAGGGTCGATGCAAGAGGGCAGAGACCCAAGGAATAAGCCAAATGCCAAGAAAGCAGAAGCCTCGAAAGGGGTCAGCTCTGCAATCTCAACGGAGGAAGCAAGAGCCATCATGGAACGCGTGACGAGCCTAGAAGAAAAATTCACCTGTGATGTCGCCGGTTTGAAAAAGGACGTCAAAAGCCAGGTTAGCCACCTGCAAAAGAACCTAGGGCAGGTGGCGGAAGTGGTAAACGTCGACATACTCCCATCCGAACTCACGACCACCATTTTACTGTGGAAGTCATGGCACCGCCGCTCCCAGACAAGTACAGGTCCCCATCGATCTCACAGTATAACAGTAAAGGGGATCCCGACGACCACCTGTAAATGTATACGGGACACATACTTCTGCATGGATATGCAGAGAAAATAATGTGTCGAGCATTCTGGAACCATTTGACGGATTCGACCCAGAGATGGTTCCGGACACTCAAGCTAGATTCCATCTCCAGCTGGGAGGAGTTGAAAGAAGCTTTCTCCCTCCAGTTCATCGAGGTGAAAAAGTATATCTCGCCGAAGCAAAATCTGACGACGGTATACCAAAAACTGAACGAGTCATTAAAAGAATGGCTGGCAAGGTATAGAGAAGTCGTCGCCGCCATGACAGATATAACCAACCGGGAGGCACTAATGGGAGCTTTGTCTAGCATGAAAAAGATTACGCCGTTCAACTGAGATCTAAACTGAAGCCACCATCAACCTACAAAGAGTTCCTAGCATGGGCGCAGAGATATATCAACCCTGATGAAGCTGATGTCAATGATCCCGAACATAGATCCAATAAAAACAAAGGAACAGAACAGGGGTCGACCTCTGGGAAATAAGATAACCGAAAGTGGCGAGGTGAAGACAAACAGGTCGCGTGGGGCCAAACCCTCCAGAAACGAAGAAGCTGAGGCAAGAGGAAAACAAAAAGACTCGACCATTCCAATAGTATGACTCTTACCACGAGCTGACCGTAGGAGTTGAGGAGGTGTTCAATCAAGTGGGCCGAGGGAACTTATTGCGCCGACCATAACCTATGAAATCGGACCCAAACCGAAGGAATCAAAGCAAATACTGGAGGTTCCATGGCGACTCAGCCATAACACCAATGATTGCACCGACCTAAAGGATGAGATTGAAAGATTAATCCGCGATGGGAGGTTGCAAGAGTTTAAAGCCGAAAGAAGAGGCCACGGTCCCAGAAATGACGGTCGGCGTCGGGAGGATAATCGACGGGGTGAAGACCGCGAACCGGTCGGCGTCATAAGAACTGTCCATGGGGGACCATATCTCGGGGGGGACTCAAGGAGATCTCAAAAGAGCTATGCCCACGAGGCAAGACAGGTATACCAGGAGAGGTTTTGAAATCTCTCGACTGCCAAAGCAGCAAAATTTGGTAACACTGACGTTGCATTCACTGAGGAGGACGCGAATGGGGTCTATTTCCCCCACAACGATGCCTTGGTGGTAGAACCAGTGATTGGGAACCACACCGTGTGCAGAATCCTTGTAGACAACGGGAGCTCGGTGGACATCCTATACTTAGATTGCCTGGAAAAAATGGGGATTCCAAAGGAGCAATTAGAGAGAACATCCCGGCCCTTATACGAGTTCACATGGGACTCAGTCATCCCCCAGGGGACGATCTGGTTGCCTATAACCATAGGAGAGAAGCCTAGGCAAGCAACAACAATGGTGAATTTTGTGGTGATAAAAGGAGGCTCACAGTACAACGCCGTAGTCGGGAGGCCAACTCTTCAGGCGCTAAGAGCAATAACTTCCATTTATCACCAAAAGGTTAAGTTCCCGACCCCCAATGACGTAGGCGAGATGAAGAGCAATCAGTAAGAATCTAGGATTGCATACTCCGATGCCATACGCGAGTACGATCAACTGGGGAGGCAGGAAGCCAGAATGGCACATCAAAGTACAATTAAAGACATAGATCCTAGAGTCGAAGAAGAGATTGCATGGTCTCAACCAATCGAACAGTTGGTGGAGGTCCAGGTAGATAATGAGGAGCCGACGAAGGTACTGAAGGTAGGCTCAGATTTGCCTCCGGCGCTTAAGATCGAAGTTGATGACTTCTTGAAGAAAAATTGGGATGTTTTCGCCTGGATGCACGCTGATATGGAAGGGATCGACCCCGAAGTTATGTGCCACGCTCTAAACGCCGACCCCTATTATCCTCTTAAGCTCCAAAAGCGTCAGCCGATGAACCCAGAAAGGTACGAGGCATTAAGAGAAGAAGTCAACAAGTTGATCAATAACAATTTCATCAGGGAGGCTTACTATCCCAGATGGATTTCAAACCCCGTCCTGGTAATTAAGCCTAACGGGAAGTGGAGGACATATGTTGACTTTAGCGACCTCAACAAGGCATGCCCAAAAGACGGTTTTTCACTCCCTCAAATAGATTAAATGGTCGATGCCACTGCCGGACATGAGCTATTAAGCTTCATGGATGCCTACTCCGGTTATAATCAAATTCTCATGCATCCATCCGATGAAGAGCACACATCATTCGTAATAGATAGGGGCCTCTATTGCTACAAGGTAATGCCCTTTGGCTTAAAGAACGCAAGGGCAACATACCAAAGGTTTATGAACAAGATGTTTGC